GGAAATGCTGCTGGATGGGTCTGACAGATCATGCGCCGTTTTCTTCTGTAACTTAATCCAGCATCCAGTTTTATCGTGTGTTTAATTTCTTTCTTTTGGTGTTGAAATGTATGCACACACTGTGTTTGTGTCATGATGTGATGGAATTCTTCATCACTTCGTGGTTTCCCATTATGAAGATTTCACAAACTCAGGTAGAGGTTGTGAAATTGAATATTTTGCAGATACCATGTCAAGTAATTGTCATAGTTTAACAACTAAAAAGAAGACGTTATTTTAACGTATGTTTAATTTACCTCGAAAAGTCCAAAAATTGGTATGTTTTAATATCACTGGTATGAATTATCATCCTGAGAATGGTTTACACTGTCGTCCAGCTTTGGTTAGAAAGCCTTCTTTAGTGTGTATTGAACTGGAATATTAACTATCACCGGTACAGCCTTTAATTCCGGTCTCTGGGGTGAAAGTGTGTGGACATTTACCACAAAACTAAGGGCCCGAGCTATACTTGTCACAGCATATAACATCTAGCCTGGAGTCATTTTGTTGCCTTCATTAACACCCTCCTTGTTGTGTTTATTAATCTCACCCCAGATGCTGTTGTTATTCAGAGACAAATTGAGGAATATAAAGTCTATTTTAAAATTTGATCAGGCGCGCTCTCTAATGTCAGTCGCTGCTTCGAGCTGCGTAATTTGTGTTACGCGCGTTTTACGCACAGAGCATTTTCGCACCCACGGCCTCAGCGGGGTCATGCTAAAAAAAAAACGAGCACATTTTTCAGCTTAACCCTCAAGCATCCTGCGTATAGCAGCCCTTAATTGGTCCTTCGTGGAAAAATTTGGGCACGAAGGTCTCAGGTATGATCCCAATTTTTATTTATTTATTTATTTATTTAAAATAAATATCATATCACTATCTTCGATCAAATATATATATATATATATATATAATATTTTTGTGGTTTTATTTACCTCTAAAAAAGTACCATATTTTTATGTAAAATATGCTTATTTTTATGTTTAATATTTCTTTTACTTCAGTAAAAAAAAATAAAAAATAAAAATAGGCTTAATTCAAAATCAATCATAAGTTCAGACAGCCAAAACCTAAAAAATTGGTGACTTTGGTGACATCTGGTGACATATGATGGTATAAAAATTTCAAAATATAAATATCAATAGCCACTATTTGGTTGTGGTACTCAATGGCTGCAAATAGACTGAAATCTATAAACCACTGTTGTAACGAACTTAACCTCTTAAGTTTTAGATTTTATCACAAGTTAAAATTGTAGGAAAAAAAAAAAAACGTTTGTGTTGGGTGAGACTATACAAAGATGCCAAAATATGCTTACAGACAAATCTGACTATGCTATAAGAAAAAGACAAAGTAGGAGACTTATCATTTCTTTCTAACAAAACATCACATTTCAATAACTCAAAAAAGTAAAATGGTACCAAACAGGTAAGAATAAACAATAAACCTAGCAAGTAGCATGTTTCAGACATGTTTTGTTTGGAATCATCAACAAATATTGCAGTAGGACTTTGATCTGACTTTGAAGTGTGTATGTGTGTGCATAGTGGCTGATTGGCACATTTAAAAAAAAATGCTCAGTCATTGGCTCATTCAATTCTTTGTTTTTGTATGTGTGAGTGACTGTTTTTATTCGACAAAATAAAAAAAATGCTAATGCTTTGTTTATGTGTGTGTGTGGGTGTGTGTGTGTGTGTGTGTCTGTGTGTGTGTGTGTGTGTGCGCACGTGAGTGTGAATGTTTGCCACATTGAGAATGTTGTATAGGCCCTTCATTTATGTGTATGTATGATCTGCATTGTCTTTGTTGAATCGAGTCCATTTTTTGTGTGTGTGTTCAGGTGGCAAATTTAGGAAAAGTAGCCAAGTCTTGTAACGCTGAGATTAAGGAAAACTATAAAAAAAAAAAAAATGATTTTGCCCACATTTGTCCCTAAGCATGCTTGAGGGTTATACATGGTTTTAAAGTAATTTTTGTACAATTTGTAAATTGTATCAAGAATGTAGAAACAGTGGGAGCAGACCAAAAAATGCTGTTGAAAGAAATACAGAGAAAACTAAAATTTAAAAATACTGTTTTTGCCAAAAAAAATATATTAAAACGGTAAAAATTGGCAATAGCTATTCATTGTTGTACACATATAGGCTATATAAAGGACACAAAAGACCATCATTAATGAAGTGTGTGCAAGCCAAGAGGGATACAGCTGCAAAGAATTTCTATTAATTGTCTCCAAAATTTGGAATGGACAAAGCATACTACATCTGATGATCCCTGATTTTGTGTATCCTGAAAGAGAGAGGCCTTGGCAGGCCCTTCAGCATTGTTGTAGCCATGTGTTCAGCTCATGTTACAGTAGTCAGTGAATAGAGTGCATGATGGACATGTACAAGGCCAGTGTTGCGTCTTGGGTGTTTAAAGACTTTTTTTCTTCCTTGTGTTTGAGGTGGTCTCATTAGATAAAGCTGCCGTATCCTATTCCATCTTCACTGTTGCAGCTGAATGCAAGTGTTGCCCTTCTCATGTCCCGAGAAGAAACCTAACAACCATTGCTTAGACTGACCTTTCATCTGTGTGTGTTTGATGTTGAAAAAGTATGGGATGATTCAACAGTTTATTGAATTTTACCTAACATAGCATAGGGCGAGCATTGTTCTCTCAGCATCATTTCACCATTGATAAAATCTATTGGGATCGGGATCAGCATACATTAGTTTGCATTAAACGTAGTCTGTAGCTATTCTAGACCTACACAAAAACACTAGAGCACAGAATGCCTGATGCATTAGATAACATTCAGTCCGAAATAGCAATGGTGAACACCTTCATCACAGGCCTGGTTGTTATTCAGCTTGCTAATCTAATTGACAATTTTTCTGCCCCAGTTATGAGTTTCTCCCAAGGACAGTCTCCGAGACAAACCATGTTCCAGATCGCTCACCCACCCCATGCTCTTGGTTGTGTCACTTCTGGTCCAAGGTTATTCCTAGATAGAATGTATTCAGCTTCTTTACTTACTCATTTATATTGCTCTCTGTATTATCTATTATTATTTTACACTGAAAAATCTGATGAATAAAGATCTTGTCGTTCAAGATGATTTTTTAAACCACAAAGCCAAATCAGCACACATTCCTTCTCTGACATTTAGAACTAAACCTTATTATCAGATTTTGGGCTTGTATCAATAAAGCAGTTCCCCTGTGAGCCACGGGATGATAATCTCTTTAATCTGAGTAGGTAATCCAGCATCAATCCGCCACACATCCCCGGGGCGGATTGTTCAATCCAGCCTCACCCCCTTATTTAGCAGGAGAACAGATACTTTAGGATCCAGCATAGTATATCTATCTTCCTGAAAAGATAAACAGACAAATTAACTGACTGCAGTTTGTCAAAATTGCATAGCAGGTCATGGTGGTGCCGAAACAGAACAATGATGGCAATTTGTAACTCGATTTGCGATCTAATTGGTAGATTTTTATATGATCTGTTTATATCTACAAAATCGCCACCTTATAAAATATTTACGTTTTCTGATATCGGGTTGTAAAAAGTAGTCCAAATTTGCTTGATGGAATTCTTCTCTCTTTGTGAAGTGGCAGTCCTGAAATGCTGTATGTCCAAGGCAGGGAGTACAATCAAATAACCACTATTTTCTTCATGTTCTTATACAAGGTCCTACTAAATGCTAATAAGACACAATGTTCTCTGTCCTAAAGTCAAGGTTTCCTTTTTTTCGAGCTAGAAGTCTGGGTGTTTGGGTTTAAACACTATACAATCATCTCAGGGTTTGTTTCCATGCAATTTCAAATGAGTTTGGGAAACTAACCTGAATTTCAAGACTAGTTTTCAGCCTAATTCTCACTAGCCTGATTTCAGTTATATTTTACATTTTCATGATAAGCACTCCCAAAGAGTCTTCTTTGAGAATAATTCAGTTTCTTATGGCTCCTTAAAATTATCGTGACCTACAGGGCTACTATATGTACTATATTATAAAGCCACACTAAGTTTAATTGTACTAACAATACACTTCTTAGACAAATGTACACTCCACAATCCTATTGAAGCATTCAGAAAAGCAATGGCAGTCACATGTGCCTTTACATGCAGCCATATGGTGTTCTGTGCTACACAAGCTTATTGAATATTTGGATGATTGAGTGACTATTGATCTTCCATAATCTCCACTAGAAAACAAATTATTGCTTATCATTCTGTCATAGAGATTTGATGAATAATCAACAAAATTATTACTTCTATTCAGAAGTACCACATCCCACTTAAGCTGCCTTTTTTTAAGAAACCAAGGCTGCATTTATTTGATCAAATATACAGTAAAAAAAAATGCAATATTATGAAATAATATTTAAAGCAGCCATTTCTCCAGTCTTCAGTGTCACATGACACTTCTGTAATCATGCTAATATGCTACTGAAGAAACATTTCTAATTAACATTGGTGAAAACAGTTGTGCTGATTAATATTTTTGTGGAAATCATGATAAATTTATTCAGGAATCTTTGATGAACAAAGTTCAAAAGAACAGCATTTATTTGAAATAGAAATCTTCTGTAACAATGTGAAAGTCTTTACTAAACATTTGAACTGCATCTATCATATTGTCAACATTTATTTCTAAATGTACATTAATGATCTGTTAAGCTTTATAAAAGTAATAATGTTAAAAAAAAATCTGCTTTATAGCAATTTTCTGAGGCTAAAAACAGAAATGGCTAATCACAAAATCAAAGAAAATTCAGAAAAACACTGGCACAAACTTAAAGTTGTGTTTTGAGGATTCGAGTTAAAGAAAGTACTGTGGCTTTGAACTTGCACACCCAGGCTTTCCAAGGATAGATGTTCCTTCTGGTCAGAATGTGACATTTGGAGGTCATTAATAGCACAGGAATCTAGCCAGGGCACAGAGACCACTCTCCCCCAACACACTTGAGTAAGTGTGGGTGCTGAGGATTGCTTTTACAATGTTCCCACTGGTCATCCAGGGCATGTCACAGTCCCAGAGCCATTTCAGTGTGAGGAACAGGTGGCATCACAACAAAAAGACATTTGGAAAACTACCACTCTATCATGCCTTTAAAATACAGTGAGAGTGAGTGAAAATGGTTTATTGGGATGTTTGGGTGACTTTGGACTGAGTTTGTGCATGTGGCTGATTGTAACATGAATGTTAAAACTAAAATGTATGTGTTGTGAAGATGTGGAAAGTGCGAAGGTCTAAAACGGCATCTCCTCTGCATGATAGGCTTCTTGATTTTTTGGTGAATGCAATGTTTTGGTGTTAGTATTTAAAGTGCAATTGCTATTTTAAGAGATCTGATTGTTGTTCATTCTACCATTTTAACCACTTTCAAAAAGAAAGGGTGTTAGGCATGGGCGTAGCTTGTGGGGGGGCCAGGGGGGCTGGCCCCCCCATAGTGATTTAAGAATTTTACTAAATATTTATTTATAAAGTTTTTTCTATGAAGTAAAAATGCATATAATGCAGTTAATAATACATGTTAAAGTGAATACGTAAAAGTGAATACATTTTAAATTGTTATTGTAAGTAAATTAATAAATCAAAACAAACTTAACGTCTCCCTCAATCTCATTTGTGTAAGAATTGTCACGTGACGAATCTGCATTTTGGTGGATAATAGACTTAACGTAAAAACGTCAAGCTACGCCTATGGTGTTAGGTCTATTGGCCAATCAGGTTTTTCAATGACCAATGCTGATATTATATATATCAGAATCATTTATATATGTATGACAAATTACATGTACGCTTTACTTAATATTTACTCAAAATTCACAAAAATGTTAGTTAAATATCCATTGACAGCGCTGTCGGTATTGAAACAGACATACTGTTATGTTAAAGCAGCACTATGTAACTTTTGGCGCTCTACCGGTTAATAAACAACTGCACACATCCCGCGGAGGAACATTCCAACCGGAGCTACTTCTCTAAGTTTATGTCTATGGCGATTCACGCAGGTATGTGTTACTCCGCGGCGGCGATGACACGACCAGCCTACAATAGTCCAAATATAAGTACTTATTATAAGTGTACCGTTGTGATTCGGAATAAGACAAAAAACGTGGTTTGGAAGATGAATTCATGATGTACTCGCTCATTATATACATTTAGCAAATTTTTAACAGAAAAAGTTACATAGTGCTGCTTTAATCTCAAAATGGCCAAATTTTGGCCGATTATTCGCCTGGTGTATAGTGGCCTATCATTAGCTAATTTACAGACAATTCATGCATATCCATTTATATAATGTATAAATAATGAGCATGTGTACATTTTAGACCAATGAGTGAGAGACCCGAAATTTGATGTGGGTCTGAAATTTGATGCGTGATGATCCATGAGTCCTCGCAGTCACTGCTAGTCACTTTTTTAACCCCTACTTCTGTGCAAATGTCACCAACCATTACTCCCATCATTGGCATTTCTAGCATGAAAATGTCAAACTGTCACAGTACATTTTCTGTATTTATATAGTAGATGAGTAGAGAGAAGATATTTGTAAAACATTAAGGAATCAACCATGTATTCATATATTTCAAATTTGAATGATTATTAATAAATGTATTTTAATATATATTTTAATATTAATATTTTAAAAAATAATTTAAATTAAATATTTAGATGTATAAATTGTTCATATTAATTTCCAGTTGCATTTACTGTTGATGGTGGATACAGACTAATACCTCCTTCTGTTCTCAGGTTCTTCTTTGCAGGTAACACATGGTCACCTGAGCTCTCCTCCATCCCAGCCTCCTCTCGGCTCCATGGTGTCCCACCATCACCCCTCCATCATCAACGGTCTAGGGTCGCCATACTCAGTCATCACTTCTTCCTCCCTGGGCTCACCTTCAGCCTCCATGCCCACTACCTCCAACATGGGCTATGGAGCGCTCAACAGTCCACAGGTACAGCACTAAGAAAGACAGAGAAAGAGTGTCTATGAAAGTGGTTCAACTAGGGGCAAACATTTGGAATAATTACGATTTTTAAATGTTTTTGAAAGATGTCTTTTATGCTCACCAAGGCTGCATTTATTTGATAAAAATACAGTAAAAAATACTAATATTATGAAAAGTTATTACAATTTAGACAAACTGTTTTCTTTTTATGTATATTTTAAAATGTAATTTATTCCTGTGATGCAAAGCTGAATTTTCAGCAGCGATTACTCCAGTCTTCAGTGTCACATGATCCTTCAGAAATCATTCTAATATGCTGATTTGGTCATTTATTTTTGGTGGCGAAGTCATTTCAATTCATTGGTTAAAAACACTGGGAACACTGAAGAACAATCCTGAAATTAAATTTTTGTATACTTTCATTTATTGTAGTTACTTTTTTTTTTAATTTACAGAAACTAGGAGTGCTCATAGACAGAGCTGATCCTCCCTATACGCAAAGTACGCACGCTGCGTAGGCCCCCGAAACACCAGGGGGCCCCCTTGCTCTCAAAGATGATTTAATTTTAGTTTCGTTTTTGAATTTGGCCAGCGGTTATGAAAGCCGCTTATGTCATTTCTTTTAATGCGGTGCGCTGTCGCCCTTTTTACGTAAAAATCAGTCAAATAATTTAACGTTAATGTCATGACTACACGACGGTCACGATAGTCACTGTGTCAGATTACACGATTTTGACTCCTAAAATCTTGTTGTGTCTGTTGTGTCGAACATGTCAGACTACACGTTGCTTCCCGACCATTCATCGCGTGCCGTCTTTAACAATGCGCGTCATGTCATCGAGAAGGCAGAACTAGCGACTGACTTCCGAAAACAAGAGTGTAAACATTGCTGAAGCACTTCC